TTATTTCGATAGTCCACTTTAGACATTCTACTAACTATAAGTAACTTTGTAACTACATATCAACTACATGTCAACCAATTCTCATGAATTTGCAACTACATGTCTACTAACTCTCAGAGTAGACTTAGGGTAGTATGTACATATAAATACACACACATGCATGTATATATTTCAGAAAAATATGTTATGTTTATATATTAAATATATTTATTTATAATATAAATTATATGAATATAAATATATACATGTAAATATTTTCAAAATATATGCATGCATGTATATATACATAATAAATATACACAGTACACACACATATATTATGCAAACAAAAACTTGTATTTTGTATGCGATTAATTGCGATTAATCATTTGACAGCACTAATTTTTATTTTTTAGTTCTCTGCATTGTTTCTTGGGGAAAAATACTTTGTTTTCATTTTTTTTTTTTTTTTCAGAACGGTAGCTTTCCAAACATTAGTGATGTTTTGATGAACAGTTGCATTGTAAATTAAATAGAGCAATGGGAAACAAGTAGGTAATTTGTAAGATCTCTCCAGAATAAAAAAAATTATAAGCACTTTTCCCACTGTTCTGCCATGAATGATCAATTACAAGGATTAGGATGAATAAACTCTAGTTATGTATCACTGCATGGTAAAAAAAAAAAGGCAAAGTGACATTTTCATGTAACAGATGCTTCTTTTTAAACCCCATTAAAGTGTGAAATGGATTTGTTTTCAGATCCGTTCAGATGAGGAGACCAGGACAAGTATACAGTATTCACTGACTGGATCAGGTGCTGATCAGCCACCTGTCAACTTGTTCACTGTTGATAGAGAGACCGGCTTGGTCAAGATCCACGGAGTGTTAGACAGAGAGAAAACTCCTGTTTATTATGTGAGCAGCCCTTTCATCTTTTACACACGATTATTAACATTTATTGCATGGGTGTCTGTCCTTCCCTGCCTGAATGACTAGATCACTAAATGCAGTGCAGCTCATACTAAAATCCCATAATTTGTATTTTCTTAGCCATAGCACATGCTTAAAGAGAGGCAATGTCATTGAGAGGGTGTGTATGCATTTGTTTTGACTGAGAAATCATGATTCGTTAATAAGGTTGAATTTAATTTTTTTTCACATTTAGAATCAACTCAACCCACATGGCATGTGTTAAAGGAATAGTTCACCCAAAAATGAAAATGTAGGCCATTCTAGATGTAGATGAGTTTGTTTATTTATGGGAACAGATTTGGAGGATGTAGAATTGCATCAGTGTCTCAGCAATGGATGCTCTGCAGTGAATGGGTGCTGTCAGAATGAGAGTCCAAACAGCTGATAAAAACATCACAATAATCCACAAGTAATCCACAGCACTCCAGTCCATCAGTTAACATCTGGAGAAGACAAAAGCTGTGTGTTTGTAAGAAACAAATCCAACATTAAGGCGTTTTAACGGCAAACCGCTGCTTCCGGCTAAAATACAAATCCATAATAACACCTTCTCCGGTGAAAAAGTCCATCTCCTGTTGTCTCTCACATCAAACTTGTTTAGAGCTGTTTTGGCTTGTGAACAGTGCTTGATCTGTGCAGATTTCTCTCCTGATTCAGACTTGATGATTTTTCACTTGAGGAAGCGTTATTATGGACTTGTATTTTAGCCAGAATCAATGGTTTAAAGGTTAAAATGTTTTAATGCTGGATTTGTTTCAGCTTTTGTCTTCTCCAGATGTTAACTGATGGACTGGAGTGGTGTGGATTACTTGTGGATTATTGTGATGTTTTTATCAGCTGTTTGGACTCTCATTCTGACGGCACCCATTCACTGCAGAGCATCCATTGCTGACACACTGATGGAATGATAAATTGTGGTTTTAGCCAGAATGTTTCGTAAGCTGTGAGGAAAATGACGGTTCATTTGCTTATCATCTGCACAGATCAGGCTTGCATGAACATGACCATCACTAGACATCAAATAACTTATTCTTTAAAAAGAGTGTAGCAAGCTAACATGAATGGATAGAGAGAGTTTGTGCTTGTTGATCAGAGTTCACATGCTTAGACCGAGTCGAAAACCAGCATCTCCTGAGTCGTACATGAGGATTTCTCACATGGTTATATGAAAAGGCAGGGTTTCATGATATTTGCTTATTCTCTCTTATCAGGAATACTTATCATATCTCATTTGTGTTTAGTTGAACGGGTGTTTCATGAACTTTTTTAGAAAACAGGACCAGGAGAGATAATGAAGGGTTATGAGAGAAGAATGAAAGGGTAAGGGAGGGGAAATATGAATGTCTGTCATAAAATACAGATTAAATAGCCTAATACATATTTAAATCTATGCTGTGACTGAGAGTTTCTACTGAAATGACTGGTGACATAAAAAGTTAATGGTGTGAATATATCCAATTTGCCAACTTAAATAAACATTATTATGTATTTAACAGTAGGGGTGACGAGAGCTCATGCCACGAGATCTTGCGATATTACAATGTGACGATTTTCTCGTCGAGTTGTCTCGCGATATCACCATTACGAGTGTGACGGTGAAATTAGCATGAGAAGATGCCACCGCTGCGTTTACATTACCGTCGTTATGCTTTTTAATAGAAAAAAATATATAAAAAATTCAGTTGGACAACGGTCGCTTCAATTCTAAACTGAAAGCGTCTGCTCTGCTCGTCGCGCAACAGAGCTAAGCATCTGACAAACATAGATATGTATAGACATATCTATGCTGACAAATGTCTTTTCATGTAGAATGCACGCTGAGCACCATATTTTGAGAGCGGCTCCCTGATCTCCCAATATCAAACCTATCTTTGGCTGGGCTGTGTGTAGTTGTTACTGTCTATTAGCTCTGTATCATGCTTTAAAGGGGTCATATGATGTTGCTAAAAAGAACATTATTTGGTGTAATGAAATGTGTTTATGCGGTTTAAGGTTCAAAAAACATTATTTTCTACATACTGTACATTATTGTTTCTCCTCTATGCCCCGCCTTTCTGAAACGCGTCGATTTTTACAAAGCTCATCGTTCTGAAAAGCAAGGTGTGCTGTGATTGGCCAGCTGTCCAGTGCGTTGTGATTGGCCGAATACCTCAAGCATGTGACGGAAATGTTACGCCCCTCACCATACTGTGATGCCGTGTCCCGCAGGAGCGACGAGACAAAAACATGAAAACCCATTATAAACGAGGCATTTGTTGCATCCAGTGGGGGACATAATTACTGATTATAATGACGTATACTGTCTTTTTACGCGTTGCGTTGCATCGCGCCGCGCCGCGTAAACATAAAACCCTGTCTGCATTTGTGATCGGAGAAATGACAAACAACAAGCGCTACTCTACACTGCCCAAAACTCGCGTTTGAATCATAAAAAATAAAAAGTATAAAAACTCTTTAAATATAAAAAACGTACTTACAGTCTG